CAGTTGTATCCCACCTCGAATATATCCCCAAAAAAGTTCCGTCCCAAAGTGGGGATATAAACGAGGTATGACTGTATTAAGGATTGTTGTAATTTTAGAAGGTTACTCAACAATGTTACATTTTGGCATGATATAATTCAAAACTGTAATTTACATAAATTCGTGTAACTGTGATAATCAAACATTAGCTTCTCATCTATGTCACATAGAAATGTTCACTTTGTCTGATTTTGTTGCAACATGCCCCAATTGATCTGACAAGGGGCCAAGGGCTTTTTTCTTGATACTGTTATTAAGCGTAGCTTGTTGTGCATGTATATAAGTAATCTACCCATCACTGATATTTTTCTCGCTTACCAGGATATGTGGGCATCGTATGATGTTTATCATTTCTGAACTAAATTTGGCGAATAGGTCATGACTTCTTTTCGTCGGAGTAATTTCTTTCCGCGTTGGCGTGGAAGTTCAATGAACATAGTGTGAAATTTTGATTGGGCTTACACAGGATGGCAGAGTTATTAATATAAGCAGATTGGTTATTTATAGAAAATTCAGTTTTTGGTCAGAGTTCCGTATAGCCAGATTCACTATAGATAGCGTCACCGTATTGCACACCATAGATACTAATGAATTTATAGCTAGAATTTAATTTTCCAAGATAACATGTCTGCTTTTCGGCAAATAAAAGCCTTAGAGAATTACTAGCACCAGCACCATCAAACAATGTATTACTTTTTTTCGATCGAACAGATTAATGATACAATTTAAGAGATTATTCGATAACGTAAGTCAGCTGATGAAGATTGTGGCTATAGCATATAGTCTATCAAAGCCGCATATAGATTAGCGGGAAAGAAGTGCATTTTCTAATAGTCTGTGCTTCAGAAAAAAAAAAACCTGCCTGGTCATCGATATTGATAATTATAGTTAGAGATACGATGTGACCCCGCAAAGATCGACAAGTCGTATGATGTGGCCGCTGAAATATTTATCTCATTGAAGCAAGTTAATCGAATCATATCGTCGAACTTTCAAACTTAATCGTATTGTTGAAATTCACAATATATGCGATGAATCTCAAACTGAAAAGTCGAGCGATTCATTGGACCGCAGAAACATGAATAGACTAATTGTCGACGTTGGAAATACAACTGATATCTATGTATGATTTCATATCAATTTAAAATTACTGTGGCTGAGTATATGAAACAATCAGCGTTCGGAATTCACTGAACTGTCTGCAGAATCAATTTAAATGGGTATACGTTTATCAGCATGCGACATCAGGTGAAAGGGGGGACATTTTGTAAATATGCGCATAATAATCAGATTTACATGGGGTCAAGCAGGGGGCGGGCTTTTCATATGTCCATATTGGCACTATAAGCTGCAAAATTAATAAGGAAAGAACCGAACCGAGGAACCGAGGTTTTTATTATTATGTAAGAGCAGCGGAACAATTAAAAGAAACCAGGTAAGAAACAGCAAGATTGTTGTAACAATAGGCATGGACGGACATTTGTAGTGAGTCATAACTAAAGTAGTGATCACCGAGCCTTGTTGGTCTCTTTGTGTCGCTGGTTTACCTATTTTAGACAGAAACCTTATTCATGTAAGTTACCCCTAGTAAGTCAGGGTTAGTGTAAATATGGAAACATTAATACTACTACGGTGTATAGTACATTAAAAACGCCACATATTTTAGGATAATATGGTGATACAATCATTGTAGAGAAATCCAAACACCGAAGATCATCTTATAGGCGTTTATTACTTATTGTTACGCACCGCATTGCTGCGGTAGACAATACAATCAACCAGAATTATGCTGGAACTGTGGTGCAAACCTTTTTACTTATTTTTTCACATCTAAGCTTAAATGTTATTAGTATCGTTTTATATTCCCACGACTGCGCTTTTTTGCATGAAAAAAGCGCGCGGTATTTACAGTGTGCATATTCTGGGGAAGAAGGACATACATATGCATTCCCACCATTAAGCTGTCGGTTATTAAAAGCTAGATGTGATGAGCAAGCTTCCGATTAACAGATGACCAAATGATGCAAACGTTCACAACAACAATACCATATAGATGATATTATTCACTCACAATCTTTGTAATTTTAACAGGCCATTCGCACTCAAACGCTGATTCGCTACTCAGCCTCCGTGCATATGATGATCTGCTCATCACTATGTATCTCGCATCGGAATATTTTTTGTGTTGGGGTAAGTGCAAGTGCAACCAACCTGACGATAATATGGGCGCACTTTGCTTTATTATTAGGAATGACTTGATCCAAAGTTAAGAGTACAGAATGTAAACAATGATAAGAGTGTATATGTACACGACTTTGTGTAATTAATGTTTAACATTACTAAAAGCTTTTAATAGCTTTATTGACAATAAGTCATACGTTCGTATATTGTAAAATTTTCCCTATTACTCTGTTACATGGCTTAGTATACAGCAGCGTGGATCAAATTTTAATATTTCCGGACAATGGGGAATTGTTTATCGCAAAAGCTACAATAATAGCTTACTTGTATTATCTCAGCAATACATAAACAAATTAAAAACTAACCAGATGTAGAAAAACAAACTTTATAAACAGAAATATATAGCATACACAAAAAGATATATATATATTGAATGCGGTTATTGTTCATCAATACATTCACCACCTTTATAAAAACCCACAGCTCCACTCCCCTTCTGCATCCTCAGTTTCGCATTCCTACGCTTATCAAACAAATCTGAATCAAACATTCTATCGTAACTCATAATTGCAATCATTATATACTCCTCTCATATTCCGGCCCCTCGCTCCCTTGTAAAAATGTTTCATCTTTCGCCCCATCCTACAATAACATCCTCATCACATTACCCGAACCATTACTCTTCGACATCCATCATCTCCACGCCATTATCGTCGTCATTACCCGCTTACTCATCCTCGCCTCTCTCCGTTTCTATTCAACATCCATCGAGCACGTCTGGATATCTGCAAACAAACTCTCGATTCTGGGAATTCTACATCGATGGGTTAGTCACATACGTGCGCTACGGCAATGTTAACGGATTAAAATACAAGGAACGTGCCACACAGATACAAGTTCATGCTACTGTTGAAGATGCGAATGCGTTTATTAAAAAGTTAATCGCTGAAAAACTGAAGAACGGATTCGAGGGCTGGATTAATCGGTGAGCTCCGGGACACCAATAAAACATAACGATTTCCCCTCCTCTTCCAAAAAAGAAAGAAAGAAACATGATGTAAATACGGCAGATCTGGGTTAGAGGGGGCGATGCTTCGACATGATGGCGATAAACGCCCCCCGAGTTTGGAGATGATCACAACTAACATTCCATGTAAATCGAATGCATTTACAAGTATATTTTATGTACATTTTTTATATTAGTATATAATTTTGTGCCATAATAATCAATCAACAAAACCCCTTTATTTTGTTTATTATTTACTAATCACTCCCTTTCATCGTACATTTGTATACACACATAATATTTTCGTCCATTTTTGTAATTACATAATTGTACAGAAAAATTCGTAATCTTTATCTTAATATCGATTATTGTAATAATCATGATTATATTACGAACCAAAAAAATTTTTAATACTCTCAGAACAAATATTTTTATTTCTCTTTATGCTCTATTATTCCCTACTCTTGCATCCGTTAAGTTGAAAAAGAACACAGATCAATTATGACAGAATTTATATGCGAAAATAGAAAAGTGGGTTTCGTGTTTGAACAATATATGTTCCTTAATTTAAGCAGTATAAGAAAACAGACGAAAATGATTTTACAAGTTATAATAAAAATGATATAATTATACCAACTAATAGCGTGCTAAACAAAAATTGATGATATTTCCCGGGCAGGCTTACCGGATTAATCGATGCATGACCAGACCGAAAAGAGAGATTTCAGGGGTTAAAACTGTTGACTAGTCACAATTTGCCCTCTATTACATTAGCGATTTTCCGTGGAAATTAGTCAAACATCCAATGCATTGCACGTAGAATTTAATCAAACAGGTTATGCCATCCGGTTTAGATATAAATTAGTCATATTAAAGTGTAAACATTAAAACAAGTAATATTTTATAGCAATTAATTGATTATGCTGTCGTTGCATAAAAGATTACCAACAACTTAATAGAAAAGCGTCGGCTGCCAATCTAATAGCTGACAAGAATTGATTAAACAATAATATTAAAAAAAGTATTGAATGCCATGACGGAGATTATATTTTATGGGCAAAGCATATATCAATAAACAGCCCGTAAACAATAAATTAATAATTCTATGAAAAAAAAATAACATGTTCAAACATGAAATAGCAAATTCGGCTTTTGCTCCAACCCACAAAAATATCATGAGAGGAACCTTGTGTATTTAAACCGAATAACACTCAAACTCTCCAGGAATATCTAGATAAAGCAATTTTTATCAAAATAACAATCAATGAACGAACATTAACTCCAAGTCATGATAGACCAAGAACGAAACAAAAACTCGGAGAATATAAAAAGAACAAGTCCAGTAACCATTTATTGAGTGGACTTCAACTTCGGATGAACGAAATTTCTTAATATGCTATAGATCAAAATAATTATCCGGTTTACACATATTATTGCATTTTTATTTAATCAGATAGTGTAAAGGTTTGCCTCTATGTGGCATTACGCTAACAAGCTGGGGTATTTGGATCTTACAAAGATATTTAATAATAACGAGGACTTCGGATTGACAAGGTTGACTATGTACAAAAAACTTTCAACTATGGGTCCAAAAACTACAAAGTGTCTCTAATATTAATGCTTTTTGTTTTAAACAAAGACATTTTATCGAAATAAATTATAGATTCTCAAAAACAAATTTTAGAACAGAGTTTGTGAGTTCACCATTGGAAAAAAATTGTGACCCGTTTGACCATTTAACAGTGTGATTCGACTCGCTTTCTTTATCAATTGCATTGATACTCGTGCATTTTGATTCGTATGTTAATCTCCTATTACGCCAAGGCAGAGGTAGGAATTGCGGTTCTTCAACACAATATCGGAGAGGCAGCGGATGGTGATGGGAATAAGTCGTTCGATTGATAATTTCAGTTCTCACCATTTCACTGATAGTATCGCAATGCTCGTCTCTGAGGTGGATTATTGACCTCTCAATTTTAATTTTCTGCTGTGAGTTGCTTCAATCGGCGCCCCAAGTTTACGTTTTGTGGTTGCATCCAGTCCTTATCGAGAAGGATACAATCAGTATTCAATACACATTGAGTAACTGGCAAAATAGAATCAGACTAAGAGCCCGTCACGAGTAGACTAAGAGCCGTTGAGAAAGATCGCCAAATTTCGCCGGGTATATGCCTTGGGTCCGTTGAGAAAGATTACAAAGATTTGCCGGATATATGCTGTAGGGCCGGTTGAGAAAGATCGCGCCTTTCGAATTACAGATTTTATTATCACATTGCTTATCACCTTTTCTATCACTTCGTCAACTACCTGGACCTCTTCTATCACTTCTTCAATCACGGGTTTTTCTTCAAATTTTAACCATGGGGCCTCTTATGTCGCGCATCAACACGCTCGTGACGTTTCATTAAAACTTTGCCACACATACCCAAACAATAATACTGGATAATGGCATACGAGAAACGGTAGATGTAAAGAATGCGACGATAACTGGATCGTATTAGGAGCGTTGTCCTATCATCTTAGAAGAGCACGTATACGAAATTTTCCGAGCTGGAAATGATCATCAACTGCCCGTTACGGTAGATAGCTTTCTCAGAGACTTCAAGATGTTCAACGTCCATATTGGGCCGATAAAAGAATCATGTTTGGAATTAATTCGTATTAAGCGATTATAGAAATATATATCATATAATCGAGAATTTTAGCAGTTTTTGTTCGTACGGTTTCCAATCGTCATCCTTTTATAACAACGAGCTTATGTGAATAAATCTTTGCAGTGCACTCCACTCCGCCACAGGTTGGTACAAAGAGCAAGAATTTCCACACCTTTCCCCCACTCCTCGGATGTTCCCTACAAGGAAACTTGCTGTGAATGAGAACCAGTAGGTGAAGAAACTCGTTGCGTGATTAAGTTTTCTTAACGTTCTGAAAGTTCTGGTTTTACACAGGTGACATCATCCGCATCCGTCAAAATCGTTTTAAATCATTGATAGAAATTTACTGTTGCCAGCAATTATTACATATAGCCCATATTTACGTAAAAGAAACAGCCCGTTGACGTAGAATATAATATATTGATCTATCCATTTTGGAAATTCAATTATATATGGGCGGAGACTCTCGATTGAAACTAACCTAAAAACAATACCATGAACGCGTCGATTCACTAGTTATATACAGATTCGTTCAATCTAAGAGAGAATTCAATTCCCTACTGTCAACTTTCGTCTCATCTCTTTTTTTCTTATACTTTTTCCTATACACACCGTACTCTCCGACTTCATTGGCTCTCATAGTCATCTCGTGCTCCTTGTCGACCAGTTTTTCAGCCACTTCAGGTCCAAAACATTCTTCCAAGAGTTTCTTATATTGAGGACGATAGCATCTCAGAATTTTCACAGTAATTCCTGCCTGCACCAATTCATCAAATTCAATGAGTCTAACAAGAAACATTATACGAATAGCTGTCTTACGAAGAATCGGAACGTTACTGGCGTTCCACTCGGTCATAGAGTCAGAGAATAACTTCATAGTCCTCTTACGGGTAGCAGCAGATGTTTCGTCGTACATGCCACGGAATAACACTTCAGTATCATTAAATATGTCGGCAAATAAAAGAGCGCTCTGTAGATGTAATACTTCTGTCTCGGATCCTACGAGTCTATAATCCATCCTTTCCCATTGCTTAATTCTCAATCGTGCTGTTTTCAGGTTATCAACGTGAATAAACGTCTCCTCGCGCGTATTGCCGAGTTTCTTGTATACATTGAATAAACGGAAATAATGCATTTTGAGAGTATCGGGAATAGACGTCGGACAGGCAGGAAGTTTGTTGATACAATCGGCAACTCTCATGTCACCAAGAATGACTTTCAGCCTATGCCCCATTTCAGCGTATCGATCCAGATCATTATTACTTGGAGGACTGAGTGGACAGGGATAAGATCCTGATTTCGGATCCAACTTACTACCGATCGATGATGGTATGTATATTCGAGGTGAAGATTGACGTGCTATATGGGGTACTTTACGATCGGTTTGCTTGACATTTGCTTTGGGCGAAGATTTTTTTATGCAAGCATCTTGCTTCTTTTTGGTAGGTTTCCGAGGTGTCATTCCAGAATCATCCGCGAGTTCCTGAATTGAAATTGGAATTAATTGCCCGTTTATTTGGCCTGGCTGGATAAACGTTATCGACATGTCGTCATGCTTTGGTGAATTTGGAGATGTTATGCGTGCTGATCTCTTTGATGGAACAGAAGGCAGCTCCTCGCGCTCTGATTCTTCTGATGTATCGATAGTTGATTTGCGAGAAAGAGTCTTCTGATTCGTCTTACGGACAGATGCTTGGATCGACGGTTCCGCGGATGGTTTTAGTTTTTTCGATTGACGTGGACTTGATGATTCGTCAAGAGCGTCTCCTCGTGATTGCGGCAATCGTTTCTTCGTTGCAGTATTATTTTTGGAGCCTTTAGCTGACGCGGGAGTCGGACGTTCGTTTGAATCATGCAACGCTTTCGTTGATGGTCTACCTTTTTTGCTGATTGTTAAAGTGCGTAACCCTTTCTTAGCCAAGTCATTGTATTTCGCATTTTTAACTGGAGATTTCTTTGTGTTTGATTTGTGATATGACGATTCATCAGATGAATCGTCATCCGGTATTTCAAATACTGATATATCGGATGGTGTGTTATATAGCAGGGGACTGTGTGACGCATATACCGACAGTGCATTGCGAACGGGTTGTCTTCGCGTCGCAGTTCTAGTGACAGATGCAGATACATTTCTAGCAAGACTGGTAATTGTATCGTTATTCGTTGATGATTGGGTAGACCTGACGCTAGGCGATTCCACAATCTCATATTCGAACGTTCCTGCACTCCTTGGTGCTCGTGGACATGGAGAATGAGATGACGACGAACTAGGTGATGGAAGGGAAGATATAATTGGAGATGACGGTCTCACACCATTCTCTCTACCATTGCATGGATTTCTTATCTCGGGGCTTGACACTTGATCAACTGTCTGTATTTGATCAACTGTGTTCATTTGATCATGTGACTTTTGTTGTTCAATCAACATATCCATCAAACTATCTCCGGCCATGTACGTTAACACTGGGTCACAAGCCATGCCCATTCCAGAATGGTTATTATTTTCGCCCATGTCTCTTTCACTGTTCAGATCCACGCTTTTGTAATGATAATTCATTTTATCACCAGCATCCACGCGCTGCCCCAGGTTCTGCGGTTCTTGTGAATTATTTACTGCTACGTCTATTGTCGAAGTATCTCGCATATTCAAGTGTACCCGTCCATCCATAAAATGAACAGATTCGATTTTCATTTTGGTTTGTTGTTCGGCTAATACTTTCGCTGCATTGAATAATAGGGCTATTGCTTCGCGCGTTATCGATGACGAGTCTATTGGAGCCATACTGTGAGAAGAGCTGCAAGAATAGGAGATGAGAAAAAGAGGTCGATCGTTGGGCGGTATTTATTGGGACGGTTTACGTGAAGGGAGAATCTAGTGGTCGGTAGAAAATTATTTGGAAATGTGGCACGAGTTTAAATGATCATGAGAGATATGTTGATTGATCGATCAATCGATCAATGGGAATATTAATATGCATCTTAACGTTAGGCGAAGGTTTTAAGGGGTTACAAAATCAGATGATTGGCTAATCAACAAATATATTGAATAATGAAAAATACCGCTGGTACATTTTATTGAAAAATCGTATAAATCATATGAATTATTTCTGTCACTGGATATTTTTGAGCCTATTATTTTGTAATCATATTCTTTCCTTTGGAATGGTTCTCAGAAAATCCAGTCGTACTCTGTAATTTATAATGATATTAGCATATTCATATATAATATAGTCGCATTACATTGAAATTCACCAAAGAAGTATATATTGAAAAAAATTTTTTATCAGATAACTTCAATCCGTTCGCTTGGCAGATTTTAAATTCAAAGACGTAATGGCAATCTAATAATAATTCTGTGTTTGGAGTGACATTATCGAAAAGTAATAAGATATTGTGACATTTCGTTCGTGAGAATCTGACGGATTTGGGTCCATTGATTATGAAGATGAGCAGTTCTCTGTAAGTGTACGTAGAATTCAATCTGGTCTTTCTTAAGAAGTTTACTAAGTCAATAAACTGTTAAAACAGAACAAATAAGATATGCCTCTATGAAATTATTTCTTCATACCTGGCGTAACAGATTGATTACTACGATCAGATCCGGAGTTTGCATTCGTCCGTAAGGCCAACGACTCTGTACTTCTGGAAACATTTTGATAGAAAGACAACTGTCGGATAAGGTTGCGTCAACGGCTCGGTACCCGATTTCATAGAGTAAGGTCGCGTTGTCAAATTTCAGCCAACCTATATTCTTCATACAATTAACAAATTCAAACATGCAATTACTAATTCTCTATCATTTAGAAGAATGCTTTCGATATTTCGTCGTTTATTGCATATTAAAAGCATTTGCTCTTATTTCAAAAATGAGACCTTGGTTCCTCATTCTTTATTTTTAGTTTTCCAATACGCTTTAATATAGGTGATATAGCATGGCAGATGCTGAATAAATTAAACCAATGTATTTACCTCCCCGAAAGCAAAACATGGCATGCACGTCTGATGATACGCCCTGCATATCGCGCTGTGATGACTGTTACACTCCTTTGCATCGGCACACGAAGACGAAGACGTCAAACGTGTAACAACGCGCACATACTGTATATCAATATATAGCTGATATGAATGGTTCAGTGAACGTTAATAAACTGCTGGTCTTACACTTCTTTCATTGAGATTAAATATATTACAATTAACCAGATCTGTCGAATGTATGATATGTTAAAATTATTTGTAAAAACATCATGACAATAATGATAGAAACCACAGAATGATTATTCTTCTCTTATGTTAATGGTGACTGTCGTTTTTGACTGTCACTTAGTTCACCATACCACAGAATTTCAGTTTCGTTCTACGTGATTACATGAAAAACCGTCGATTCCGACATGATAAACGCGATCCGGTTATATCATTGCTTCTAGCAATTCTAACGAATATTCTTATATATTAGCCATAGAAATACGGACAGGTAAGGCTTTAAATAGGGAGTTCCATCCGCCAATTTAATGCGACAGTCATATAAGTAGATGACAATGCGTATCCATGAATGGTTCCAGTTCAATCAATTAACACTCGCATTGCGTTTGTCAATTGTGCTGTCATCGTATCAAAGATTATTCTGCTAATAGACTTCCGTTGCCATTGTGCAACTTTATTTTGACGTGCGATACGCTGGGATTATATATATATATATACTATAATTATTAAATACATCCGTTTTTATACAAATAACGATTAAGAGATTTACATCCATATAATTTTACATGCGTCTAAAACCCAACCTTCACACTATTCTCTACATGCGGACATTAGCGAGAGGATAAATGAGTCTCATCGGTTATCTCTTTCGTGTCCATCTCGTCTGAAACAGACGCTGACTCGTCTGCACTTTCAAGGTGACTATTAGTCTTATGGGCACGCACTAGAGTGATTCCGTAGTAAAAGCGAGTAATAAAGTTGATTACGAGCATAACCGATGCAGAGACAAGAGACAAGAGTGGGATTATGTTATATGTGATGGTATTGTTCTGATAAATGACCTATTACGTTATAGAAAAATATATAAGCAACTGAATTAAAAAGTGTACATTTTATATTTGAAATGCTGTTCCAGGTTTTACTTACCTGAACAATGAACTGTGGCACATCCTCAATGAAGAAGCTACCAGTGCTCGCCCAAAATATCGCATGATGCGCTCGTTCACTGAAAGGCGCAGAGAAAAATGGCGATTTACACACTTTGCTGCCTAGCACGGTCAACACTTCAATATCTGCTGCAGCGATGACCGTGAATATAGCAGCAACCTGTGAATATGATTGGGTCCAGACATGGAATTTATATGAACGTGTATTCTCCGAGATCATTATATATAGAGCCATAGATATACTGTAGACAATCGTAGCTACAAGGATTAGAATGCTGAAAATACAAATATAATCAATATGCGAAACAAGCACAACAATAAATAAAGGCGATGAATATATGTAAAATCCAATTCTACGTACCTTGGAACGTACAATGACCGTACGTCTTTTCCATTCGATACAATGAAAGCGACATCAACGGCAAAGTCATACAGAACGAGCGTGAGAGTGAAAATTGCACTATTTTGGGCCTATGTTGAAACGACACGAAAATAAGAGAGGTTAACGTTTGCATAAGCATATTTAAGAATGTGTATAATCGATATGAGCCATGTACTCACCTCTGGATTAATACGACTTGCCAAAAGATAAAGTAATCCTATCACAAATATTGCCGCTGCCGCAATGAGTACATTCAATTTATACTCTTCCCATAAATTAGCTATGATAACCAGACAAGTTAATTTAACACACAAAATTTTGAAGATGACGTATTCCCAATCACGTCCCCCCATAACACTCACGTTCGACCTGGACCCCATAATTTTCGTCGACGAGCACAGTCTCTGGTACATGAGAAGCTGCTGTAATTGCCTTATTCTTAATAAGCACGCCCAAATCTTTTAGTATTGAATCCACGCCCATTTCTGAGTCACTGGTAGCCGTAAAGACGTTAAGAGATAGTAGCACCCGGTCTTGACCGGTTTTAGAATCGATTTGGAATTTCTTGGAAATAGATAGTCGGCCTGGAGAGGCTGGGACAATAGATGCAAGAGAGTTGCTGAGAGAGGAGAGGAAATTCGAACGGTCAGCGCTGGAAAGTCCGAGAAAGTGAGAACTGCCCGAAGAAGTTAAGCTGATAATTGCTGTAGCGGCGGGTGAAAAGATATCTTGTGGTTGTACCGAGGCTGAAAAAAATCGATGGTAATCAGTAATCAATCCAAGAAATCTTGTCAGAATCTCTAACAATACTTACATGTATGGAATCTCCATCGCCCATCAACACCAAGAATCGACTCTCCAGTGTCTTTTGAGGTTACAAACCCATTCTCAATAACTACATAGTAAGTCATGTTGGGTTGATTAAAAGTACTATTTAGCACCTGCAGAGTCACTGTTTGATTTTTTTCATCTAGTGACCAGTATTGGAAATAGACCGGCGAGTATGTTTGACGAAGAAATTTGTTGACACCATCAGTAGCGTATATGGAGACGTTTCCGGTGTTTGGTTTTACTTGCATGTCGTATGTGATGCTTATACTGGTCTGGCGGGACGGTATTTCCTGGCCAATGGTAGGCGATGTTGTTACGACGTTTGGATTCTGGTAGTCAATGCCTAATTGTGATGCATCGATGATATTAGTTATTTAATTTAAATATATATTTGTAGTCTATATATGTATTTTTACGTACCATAAGTTGTGAATTTGGGCAAGTAGTATGATATGATTGACCAAGACTGTGGCGAATCATTCATCCAATGCCAAACAGTATTATTTCTTGCATAAACATTTACTACATAGGTCTGGCTCACGAAGGTCACAGTTTTCGTGACCGTACCGTTTGGACTTAGCACGATTGCATTTTTAGCGACTCTACCTATATCTGAATCAACAAAGTTAACTATCATGTAACCTCCGTAGAACAATGGACTTATCCTATCGGCTTCAACAACGTTCTTGGGATCAAATGTCAGTGCAAAGTTGTCATAAGATGCTCCCGTTGAATAGAAATTCACTTGATGCAACATTTGAGCTTGACCCATAGTGACTAGTAATATGCAAACATATCCGCTACCGTCATACGCTATATTACACGCGTTAAAACCGAGCTGAACGTCTGATACACCTGCTGGGCTCGTCCATATAATGCTTGGCTTGCTGACTGTGTTAGTATCTGGATGGAGGAACGTAACTTGTAAACCCCATTGAAGATTGGTTTCGGCATTTTTGTTCTTTGCATCATAGTTCCTTGTAACAAAGGCACAACCATATCCGCCGTCGACTGTGCGAAATATGTTGCTACCATACACTTGGGATCCATCCCTGAGATTGGCAGTGAAGTTACCATCACCTAAAGCGTAGATTTTTCCATCTTCAGTTCTAAAACGAACATTTTGTTTTAGGTTAGCACAAACTCGTTGTAACAATATGGCAGTAATCATCCCGGTTAACTTACACTGTCGAATATCGCCTCCAAATTACGGGTCCGTCGCGTCGTATCTTGGCAAATAAGAATCCAGCCTCAGGAATCATACTTCTGTAAAGATCACCGGGAATGCCATCGTCGTAATTCAGCAACAACTTGGTCTCGCCCAACGTCCCATTATACGCGATAGGGACTCCGTATTGTTGAAATTGAGCAAGTCCAACGTCCTCTAGGTACGTTACATATATCCAACCCTCTATTAAACTGATCATTGATATTCTGCTCGTGCTAGTAAGATTGGCGCAGTAATTATAACTGCTCATGTTAATTGTAGGCGTGGATCCGATTACAGTATTATTAGGGAATATAACTCGAAAGTATATGTCTTTCGTAAAAGGACATTGGGAATCATTGGCAGCTTTTTGAAGGCGAACTAGTGTGGTCCCGTCAATTTCAGCTGTGGCGTCCGCCACCGTGAGCCCCTCAATAGATTCGGTATATGTAAATTTGTTGTCATAGGATTGTGCGTACACATAAGGTAGGGTAAGAAGAATGACGAATGTGATAAGGGGAAGAAGAGAAAGGAATGTGGAGGAGCGCTGCTCCCGCAGAGTTTTCATGTTGGCCAGGGCCCACGCTGCAATAGCTGAAGGGAATGTATGATGATGATAAACTACGCATTCTTTCGCAAGGCGTATTTATTATTCATAAAAATATTCTGGGAAAATCACGTTTACCTTATTGAGTATGCGCGTCTGACATCCTGACCAATAGTAACTTTCCTTAGCTGCACAGTTCGGTGTGTTGCAACAATGTAATTAAAACTTGTTACACCAATTGCATTCATAAATGTTCTTATTAGCTATGTAAGGATAATGATGTGAAAATCTTATTAATGTTAATTACATATTAACTTCAAGGATCAGGTAAACAAAAAAATATATAGCGAGTAAATGTATCATTTTTACAAATTCTATAAATATTTCGGGCTTATTTCGTTTGCACATGTTGGTATTAGGCTTAATGATTGTAAAAAATCAATTCTTTGTCAGGGCTGATTTACTTCATGCCCGATTTGTCGGTGAATGGACTTGATTGTACAGCCAATTTTATGATCGAACATGAAACTTGTTATCATCAAGAAATCTTGTATTGGATCGTTGCAGAAAATAACCCAAATAAATAACAGGACAAATCGGGTTAGCATTATTAACAAAACGAATTGATAAAGTGAAGAGAAATCATAGGATAATGAAGACAATAAAGATGCAACGATAAAATTAATACGTACTGTATTAAAAGAGAACAGAAGTCTAGATTAGATTCACAATAAAACAAGTAACAAATAGATATTTATGTTTTTTTACGCAATATGTCAGGTGTTTTATCAATGTCAATTGTTCACAATAATACCTGCGCTCACAAGAAACAAGAGTTACGTAACAGACTGAAAAATTGAAACTAATATTTGGTCATGTTCGAATTTTAACAATTCCGTTTAGTGATTATAAAGAACCGCTCAATCGAAATGTAGTTAATTGTTTTATTTTTACTTTATTCGTGCTTCGTGTAAACAATTGCTTTAACATCATTGACTGTGAAAAGATGCATCATTATCTAATCTGTAATAAATCCAACTAGTCAACTTGATCGAACATTACCTGAAGCATACATAAAGCAATACACATGAATAATAGTGCATATATGCAGAACAAATAGCTTACCTCCAATTTAAACAGCCGCTCTCCGTTGCTTTTTGTAATATCTTGTATTGGTCGTCTTGCGTTCCAGGTCTTTGTGGTTACACCATCGGTTATTACTCATTACACAATTTCTCGACGGACATGCTTCAATGACGACGATAGTATCTCTCTGCCATTACTAGCACACAGGAAAATAAAAGAGTTCGACACGAGTCAGGCAGCACTGACTTCTTGAACTGTCCGTGATAATGCTCCTTTTATTATCAAAATCATTAAGCTTATGTTAGCTTGATGAAAATATGTAGAGATTAGGATCAAGAAAACTTTATATGAAGACATTTCGTAGATATCGAAGATGAACTTTTTAAACGTAAACAGACAACGATAATAGATAATTCGTAATTGGCCTTCGGGAACGTCCAGGCATGCTCTAAACAACGGAAGTAGCAAGTTTTGCTTTACTACTAACATCCCAAATATTCTCTTTAAAAGGTGATTTTGGTCATCACACTACAAAATTTATAAGTTTGAAAAGTCGTTCCAAATACCATGTCAACATATTTGGAAAGTAGTTAATACTGTCCACTCGTCCTTAATGATCGTCATCTAATAGTTTTTCGTTTACGCGGATTACTTCTATATCTTTGGACTGCTGCGATAACCTTTTACAATAACCAAGATAAGTTAAGCACGAACTTAATTATCGGCTTTAAGACCTCTATAGTCTTTTTTTACAACCAGTGTTGCAAACCGCGGCGTAATTCTGATCAATATATTTATCTTTACAGTTTGTGAATATAAGTTTTGAGAACTCTTTGCGTTTATTCCTGCCTTGACTATGACGTCCGAATGAAACCTGCTGATGCTTATTTGATGACGGTATGGATGCTACGAAAAGAGAAAAAAATCCAAAGCGACGAGTTAGTATTTATATCGAATGGCAACCGTTTATCTGTTCAACTCATTACCTTTGAAACGTTAGCAGCCCAATACTTCGCCATTTGTAACTCGGTTAGCAGCATAAAATATTTGACAGGTAGTCATAAAAGTTCAAGAAAAAAACCATGTTGATATTATAAAAAAGCTAATGCTCAGGTCGAGGCTGCAAGTTTCCCGTTTTCATGAACAATGAACCGAAAGATGAGGATTGTGGCTGTGTTACAGAGTCGATACGTAAATAAAGGGCCAAGTCGGTTAGATAAGTCATTGATGAATGGTAAGTTGCCGGTAATGACAAGTCTCCCTTCTATACTAGTAGACAAATATCAAAACCACAGCATACGTTTATCCGCGCACCATTGAAAAGGTAATAATTGGAGGCAAGAACCATGTTTACGGTACTGATCTTAATTCGGAATGATGAGTAAATGCTTTGAAATTTTCCTTGCGTATAATGCAAAATTCAACCCGGTCGGGATGCTGCAAACAGAATTTCCAAGCTATTAAAAAAAACGAAACGTGAGTGGCATATCGCTTGTTCGAAACTAACTTCAAAATCGTTTCTAATAGATCGGGATGGATGCCCGAATTAAAAGAAAAGTTGTTATACTTGGCAATAAACGCAGTTAGCATTCCGGTGGTGCTCAAGAAAAAAAATTATTTTTTTTCTTTTATGGCCGGAATCGCGCACGCCAATTTGATTGATATGTTCAGCAATTTCCTTTCTAATTTCAGACATCTCGGTTTTTTTCTGTTCTGATCTGATACATTTCTGGGTAGCTGCAAGGAATTGGGATTGTGATCCATCATAATTAGAGTGTACGAGTTCACAACTCAATCCCCATCTTTAAGCAGCTTCCCGTCTATGTCTAGCCGTTCGAAAAATAAAACAAACTCTTTATAAATTTGTGACACTATTTCTTGCAAAACTTCAAATATGGAGTTTCAGGGCATCGTTTCTGCAATCGTTTGAAAACATGTAAGTCGTAAAGACGCTTTCGACGCGAGAATTTCCAATAAACATCAAAGCTGATACATCAACTTCGATTGGAACCAAATGTGCCAACATGCAATTATTGATAATATGCTTCTTTTAAAGTCACGTTGGATAATCGCATCTCGATTAACCAAGGAATGCTCAACAGCATGTGATGATTGATGTCAGCTTAATACTAAAAGGCGAAAGATTGCGTAATGAATCAGGCGACGGTGTTTGCCAACGATAAACGACCTGACAATAACATGACTCGCAATGGGCGAAAACAATTAACGATCTCTCGAGACGTACGACCTGTGTGTTGACCAACGGACCAAAGAATACATGCTGTAAAAGATATTAAGTCAAATTACTAAGAGCGTTTAGTGGAGCTTGATGATGCATAGACATTAAATAGAAAGTGAAAATCAGTTCTAGCGTGCATTTGAAACAATATGCAGAGACTGAGCGGGGGAGCGGGGGAGCGGGGGAGCGGACACAACAATATGTCGTTATGTTGATCTTGTGTCCTTTATTAGACGTAACTAAGGTGGACCTCTAGATCTTGCTTATGTCAGTCGAATGACCTCAGTATTAGAAACACCGTGACGGTAATGTTGAGCGACAAGAAATTACAGCATAGTGAGAAATTTACCATTACGTAAGGCTATACGAAAGGCTTTTTTAACGTTTTGATATAATGAATAACAAGATGTCAGCGTGTACACTACTATGGTTTTTGAGTTATACATTAAGTACGACCGTACGGTAAATACATCATCGTATCGTAATTATTGGAACAAAGCAGACGACAAAATTAAAAGTGTGGCAAGTCACTTAATATTTGGATCGGATCAAAGAACAATATCCCGATTTTTCAATCACACAAACGTTAAATTCAACGTAAATATAAACGCCAAAGGAGGCTCGGAAATTTATTTTGCCTCAAATATTTTAGCTACCCGAGTGAATTGTGGTATGGGCTTTTTATCTTTGCTAAACTGGAAGAATAAGACCAACATTAGCGCCTGAGCGTTGCATGCTTGCTTAATAATGGTTTTGTTAGTAATCTGTGAAAAGTAACAAGGCAATTTCTCTTTCCGACCTTGGTGATCTGTACAAACCCCTGGGATCATGGTTTCAATTGTTTATTAAACAGTCCCGCTCAACAACAGAGGTTGGCATGTCACCCACAATAGATTAGCAGATACTTTAAATCAGTAATTTTTATATTTGCAAAGCGATTCAACGGATTTCCTGGTATTTCCTCTCCTTACAACAATCGGATTGGAACAATGGTTGAGTGGCGTCCTGAAAGAAAAAGTCTTGCTTTAAAAGGAAGACTAAGAAAGAACTAAGTCTTATAAGTGCAAAGCAGGACCAAGGATTGGTCACATTCCTTTGTTCGTTTAGGGTAAACAAGAAAAAGTTTAAAGTAAAAGCTTTTGCATGCACATAAAGAGGGAAATGAAGCTAAATACAATGTATTTTGAACGGGGAACAGATTATCACAACTTTTCCCGATAAAGCCTTAAAAATTATTATGGCCCAACAACGGTCTTATAGTAAAAATAAAAAGATTTTATTAGGCCCGTTCGGGAATATCAGCAAAGGCGAGTTAAACAAACAAAGTTAACAAGTTGTTGAATCGGGGATTTCTAATTGTTTGGGTGGGTTCACTAAAAATACGACAGAAAATGTGTGGGTTTTGAATGCTCCTTATGTCTGCACGTTTTTAGTAGACTGGTAAAACAATAAGTGCAAGCACGATCGAAACATCAAAAAGGTCTGCTGATGAATAATTATAATGAGACAAGCTGATCATAGATGATTTCCCCCCTTTCTCTGATCAATCATTTCAACTCCTGATAATCCAAGACAACTCGGTAATGTATTATACAAACGTTCCTTAAACCACGACCGTCGAGAACGTGAATTCGCCTGTTCACAAGAACGTAACCAACCAGTTAGAGACTCGATTATTTGATGCGTTAGGATTGGCTTTCCTAATCAGTCAGTTCGATTCCGCAATTTCCGTCATGCTCCTGCGTAATTTATCCTACATTTACCCCTCCCCTCCTTTTCTCTGCCTATCCCTGCATTTATACACTTTTGGGAATCTATTTTAAAGTCTCTCCCCTATTCATGAGGAGTGTGTCATTCATACTGGCGTGCATTCCGATTGCTTGTAATGCAGGGATACAATATTAATATGTGCAGTCGTATTCCGAATAAATTCGTGTCTATTTGGGAATGAGTACGGTCTCGTGATCATTTGTTGGGACAGAGATAAGCTTTTATGTTTATATTTCGAGAATGAATAATGACTGCCACTATTGGACATTGGTTTATCCTGGTGTGGTGCTCCTTTGTCATGCCTATATTACTCCCTATTCATATTAAAGTAACGCCCTCGCTTATAGAAAACCTCTTTGCGGAAAAACCGAATAATGTTACACGCAATTGAGCTTGCTCCATACCGGAGGGAAATTAATTGTAAGAAAGACATAATTATAATAGGAAAAATAAATAATTGCTATTGTGTTACCCCTTTTGCAGATGTCATCAATAGCCTATTTACTTGGAGTTAAGGTATTGGTCGTAAACAGGTAACTAAATTTGATATGATTGGAGTATTCGACTGTTTAATAATATGACCAATGCAGTGAACCAAATAATATGTTTGTGCGTGACTGATTGTTTGTCAGCATCCCATTTGTCTATTCGACTAGTCATCCTTTGCATCGGTAAATGACCATGTCCTCATGATGCTGATGGTTTATCCTCGTGATGGATTAGTTCCGAGCAGCTGACCACGGTTAAGTGATCCCGATTTTATGAAGATGATCAGACAAACAAGATAAGATACCAATGATCTCACACCAATTAGATAAACACATCTGTAACCGCAGCAAATTATCATTCGTCATCTTGCTTCAGTTTTGTTTACTGCGTCTTCCTTAATAGTTAGCCTAGCATTAGCCGAACTAACAAACAATCATTATTGCTCACCTGTTCGTTCATTCACACGCTCACTCTTTCGACTTTATTACCTAATCTTTATCCGCATATAGACTAAGAACGGGCTATCCAAACTTAAAGGAAAAACTTCACCATATTGAGATATAAAAATGTCATGAGTAGCAATTAAAATATTCACAAAGGGCCATCGCTTAAACATAAACAATGTACAATAATTAAAGAGATACTGTTCTCCAAACAGAACAATCACAGAGGGGGTGTCGAGAAAAAAAGAATAATTGTGATTGATAACAATCATCACATTAGCGCAGTAAATACGTAATCGGTAACTGCGTCCCGGTATTAATAATAAGCTTTTGTTGTGGCGAAACTGCTGGCGTCACCAAAATAGAAATTCTAGTATTCTCCGGGGCTGAACATTCCCGCAGAATCATTCTTTGTCATATTCCACATTTCTATTCATATGCACACCCATGTAGAATACGTCAATAACCGAATACAGATGTAATCTTGGCGGTGGCGCATCGGATAATCTGACCTTAAAATCACTGTCACAGAACCAATGTTTGTCCACTACCAAATATGTCAAAAGTTTTGCATTTCGTAATTTCAGACTATGAATAGTAATCTCACAGACTACGATTGGTAAGACGGGCAAAGCTATTACTTAAAATAATTAATACGAACACAATCTATATACCCGATATAGGAATCGTACCCTAAAGGGGCGAGGTGATGGGATATTACTTAAAATAATTTCAATTTGCTGTAGAATAAAAAAAGCTTTTTTCAAGTGTGAAAATAATATGACCTAGAATTGCACGGTAATGGGTAACAGCAACGAGTTTAATCACAGTTCACATTGGATCCACAAGGTAAATAACCCAATTAGCACACATAAGCCCTATCTCCCACACACTCCTCACACTCTACTCACGCCCTCGTTTTCGTATTCCACGCTCTCCTCGTCGAATGTGGTAAGTGACCACACCCAGTTAGATCTCATCTTTGCGTGGTAGATTGCTCGATATACTACTTGTCATTGCTCCTGCATACGTTTATTTCTTGTCAGTTTGCAGGGCACTAATCCCATGTTATCTGATTAAGAATGAGACAGTGAATGGTTTAATCTGAAAATGGAGCGGTTCTATTCGTCTTGTTTATTTGGGGCATTAGCATCGATTGGATGCCATGGATTTAATTTAATGACTGTATAATTGTATATAATATTATCTATTGTATATTTTATACGTACTGCTCACGTGTTTATGTATAAAATATATGTATGTTTATGAATTGCCATTATTCAATGCATCTTTGTATATATATGGTTATCCATTTAAGCTACGGCTATTATTTATCCATAAACTACGGATTATTTTTTATATTATATAATACACACCAATTGGGACATTTTTATTTATATTCCATTAATTGAATGACAAGAATTTTTTTTTATATATAAACGCCCGAGGGGCAACCTTCAATAGAAAGTCTTGTCCAAAGTGTCAGATTTGATTTTTTCAAGCATTTTCGCTTTGTATATAAACTCGAACAATTTTTCCGAGTCGCAACTCATTCCAAACAACTACTTGCGTCATGATCAAAAGTAACTCGAGACACATTTCGCCATGCTATATCGACGAGGCAGAGACTATATACACTTCCGATATATACGAATTCTGTGCCCATTGCGAACAATGCATATCAGAATGCTGTTGCGATGAAGCAACAAAGATTGAAAGTGACGGAACATCGCTTCGTAAGTACTCTTGTGCAAACAGACGGTGCGTTATGACGTACATCAGATGTGTCTTGTATTCTAACCCTTACCGATTGATCTATTTAGGCTTCTCAGATAAAATATCTGTAATAAAAGTTAAAATGCAACTTCGATTTGTCATGTCATACACTAAATTCCGTCGGTGCGTCTCACGAAAGAGCAAGCGGGCAATCATGCCTGAAGGTAACCATCACTTTAATCCTTAATTGACTATTAGTCATGACATGTCACGATGGCTCAATAGAACTAACCCAACATTATTTCACTTACTATTTAGAACTTCCCACGTTCTTATCGTAAAGTTCTCACCATTCAATAACGATGGCGAGAATGTCCGCAACAATTTTAATTCTTACCTCGATATCTCGTATAACTACTCATGTTCACTCGGTCGATCCAACCTGGTTACAGTTTCTCATCTCGCCGCCTTGTCATAATATCCATCCTCCGAACACTCAGAATCGTCATCACCGATGCTGCACCCACTCTGTTTGATAAAGCGGGCACGTGTGCGTGTAGCAGCTGCATCAACTTGGAATCATTCTATGATGGAGGATTACAAAAACTCGGCAACATTCTCACACGAACGATGTATATGTTTTGTCAGTGTTCGCTCAGGATGTTGCAGCGACTATATATGTTCGCTCATTTGAAATTTCATTATCATTATGTAACTAAACCACGTCTCAGTTACTTTGTAAGATTTTCTTTTCAAACGGACACTTTTTTTTTTCGCATCACAGAGAATCATTTCATTATGCATTATGGTTTTCTCTTTCATTTCTAAGTATTTTGTTTTTTTCTTCGCACAATCAAATAGACTTTGTAATTATCATTCGATTTCTTTGCATTTTCTATCTTTATAGACATTGATCAATATTTGTACAGACTTTACTCATCAATTTGACTTTTTTTTTACTCATGAAAATAAAGATTTAAGTGTAAATATGAACTCTTTGATCGCCTGATAATCCTTGTGTTACAGAAATGCTGAATTTCAAATCAGTAAACAACCAGCTCGTAATACCCGAAAATTTGTTTGCTTCAGCGCCCATCCATTTTGATAGCAGAGTACATTTATGGTGAGGGCAGAACAATAAAGAAGAAACGCAAGCAGAAAAAAAAAGTGGGCGATGCATTCCAATTCCTAACCCCTACTTTCATGCACATAAACATCATCGAGTCTTTAAAAATCGTTTCACTCGTTAATACAGTCTTTTTTTTTCACTCCTTGGGAAAAAAAACTTTTAAGTATATCAACTTACGCTTTCCACACAACGGCTCTCCCCCATGAAACATCACCCTTATTGCATAATCCTTCCCCTCCCGAGCTTGTTAAAATTTTGAATTTAGGTAATTATTCAGCTCGAACCAATCAAGTACATTCCCGCCGCGGTTTGAGCAGTAATTAAAGATATACGAAACATATCAAACATCTCTCTTTGTGCGTCCAGAAATTGCCAGTCAACTGCAAATTTGACGTTTTGAGATGATTGCGTAATCAGAGTGCAAACGATAAAGCGAAAGGACCAACCATAACGTAAACATTAAGAATATACTTCCCTGTATGGTAACCAGGGATAAGGAGGGCGGGCAAACAAGTGGTGAATCTTGTAGTAACTATGTGTGGCGTTATTCGGCATGTATCCGAAGCGATTGGGCAAAACAAGGTATACTAAATATGGAAGGTTGGGACAGTCGAATGATTTCATCAGAGGAAAAAGGCACAGCACAATTTCCGCTGTGTGTCGTCATTTACATGAGATATTTAATACACAACAGCTTCACGCCGGGTCCGTTCGAATTTGGGCATACCAACCTTCACCTCCCCCCAAGTTTCTCCCCCTTTCTTTCGTCTCCCTGATGACGTAAATGGATTACGCCAAAAAGTTGGGGATGATAATTAAAAGCTGTAAAGAAACGGTGAACTTGATTGATATTCAAGTTTTGATATATCGTAATTAACTGGATTTCTGTGCGGATTTTGGCAATTCCCCGGTTAAGAATTAAACCCGTTAAAGTTGAAATGCTAGCCCATAATAATAACGATAAACGAAAAAATCGTCTAGTACGGAATAAGCGGCTAGGTCACATTTGACCAGCATTACGTGAGACTCATTCGAGTAGTTAGTCTAATAAAAACTGGACGTTACTACTTGGTTAAATCGTTCGAAAATTACCTTAATCTTTGGCGTTAAGTGATCACCATTTAAAGCTTGCTTCCATTTATGTTATGAATGACATCAAGTTTGACAGAATCGGTTGGAAAGATGATGAGGGCCAAGAATTTACATCCTTTAGCAGTGACAGGACCTTACTGATTGTAGACATATTAATGTTAACATGTAATACAACTTGACACGTGAAACATTGTTAGAGTGACCAGTGACCAAATATACAGTATTAGTATTTATACAAGAAACAGATATTTCAATCTGAAGCATGATTACAATGTTCGTGTACACTATTGCAGTCATCAGTTAAGCAAATACAAGGTTCAATGCAATAGTTTTTGGGACATTGTACCAGAGCTTGCAATATCATTAATATTGTTGCAGTCTGACATATATATACATATTAAAACCAGACAAAGTGAACAATTACTAGATGCACGCTATTTGATGGTCCCAACCTCGGGACTTTTTACCGTTAATAAAAACGATTCATCATGCCGCCAAAAAGACAACTTTGACAGATTCGCAAAAATACGAACTTTGTCTGTATGCTCGCGATAATAAGAAATCTCGTGCGGAGTATTTTTACTACAACAAGAAAATGCAAGTGAACACATAAAAGTGGTGAATATTCTTGAAAGATATATTAGAGAGAAAAAGGCTAATACGATGCAACAAACGAGCATAGATCAATATTTTAACCAATAAATGAATAAAGTATCAGAATCACGTGAATTTACTATACTCTCCCTAAATGCACGTTTTTGCATTATTCCCTAAATGCATGTTTTTGTATTATTCCTGAATGCATGCTCTCAGATTTATGGTCCCAAAGCGTGCATTTAGGGAGAGTTCACTGTAGATTAAGAATTAAAGAATTTATTCATGTGTTGCTTTTAATTACAACATTTGTTGCCAACTTCAAAATATCTGATTCTCTGTTTTGAACAGCACATCCCATTCAGAACCACTAATTGTCACTTGCTCTTTGTCATCTCTTGCATATCCTATCACAGCATTCCATTGATGATCACATTAACTGGAGTCACATTAACATGGGGTATGCTGCAACAAAACCAGACAAAGTGAACATTCTATTATGTGACATAAATGAGAGGCTGATTATAATGTGGCTGTAAAATTGAGTGTGACTGATGACATTTTGAAAAGTAATAGCAGTGCTCATTCATAACTTATGACTTGTTAATTTTAATGCTCACTTTATCATACCAGAATGTGAGGAATATAAACCATAACAGGATTAATATATATATGATTATCTCTACATAAAAAATATTAATATGAAACTAATTTACATTAAATCCACTATGGAACCCAAGAATTACAGCACCATTAGAAGCATTCTAAAGAAAGCTCAA